AGAGAAGAGAAGAGAAGAGAAGAGAAGAGAAGAGAAGAGAAGAGAAGAGAAGAGAAGAGAAGAGAAGAGAAGAGAAGAGAAGAGAAGAGAAGAGAGGAGAGAAGAGAGAAGAGAGAGAAGAGAAGAGAAGAGAAGAGAAGAGAAGAGAAGAGAAGAGAAGAGAAGAGAAGAGAAGAGAAGAGAAGGATCCATTTGATGCCAGTGCTTCTCATTCCCTGCCCATGTACCAGCTCGATGAAGGCTGACCATGAGCAAAGCCGTGACCTTTCAGAGGATCATCAGTTATCCCCTCCCAAGGCACGCAGCACCACCAGCATTTTTCAGCTGCTTAATTTTCCCTTTTCCATTTGTAAGATGCAGAGAGCTGTAACTCTCCCTTTCCCCTTTGCTGCTGCCTTTTTATTTTTTTTTTTTTTTAAATTTTCTTGAAAATGTAACAGAGCAATTTGCAGTGGCTGAAGAGCGTGTCATGTCAGCAACCACCCATGCAAAGCACACGGCAGAAACAGCACAGAAACGACAAACCCTCCCTGCCAGGCAGCTGAGAGAGCCCCGGAGCTTTCCAGCTTTGCAAAAACCCTTTGGAAGTGTCTGTGAGGATGTGACAACCCCGAACTCAGGTCCCACCTCGGCAGCAGCCCGGGGATGCCACCCCTGGATGCTGTGGGATTACGGCTGAGCAGGTAAATGCACACATATTCAGGGGTGAAGGACATAAAGTTTGTTGTCTCACACACCAAGCGGTGCGTGTGGGCACCAGGAGCCAGGTGAGCGGGGGCAGCAGGCTGAACCATCTCTGGAGCACAGCCCCACATCCCTGAGCTGCCTGCCCCTCACGCCTGAGGAGTCTCCCACCAAGCTGCAGCTGCTGGCACCACAGCAGACCCTCACCTCTGCTGGGCTGTGCCTTCAGCCAGAGGATCCCAGCTCCTGGGGGATCCTTCTGGAAAATGTCCTGGTCAGGTGGATCATCTGGTGGATCCTCCTGGAAAATGTCCTGGTCAGGTGGATCATCTCAGGGATCCTCCTGGAAAATGTCCTGGTCAGGTGGATCATCTGGGGGATCCTCCTGGAAAATGTCCTGGTCGGGTGGATCATCTGGGGGATCCTCCTGGCAAAATGTCCTGGTCGGGTGGATCATCTGGGGGATCCTCCTGGAAAATGTCCTGGTCAGGTGGATCATCTGGTGGATCCTCCT